GCAAAACGGTTATCTGGATTCCTCCAACAGACACACTGCAATATACACATCCCTGGAATACCCCTGGCCCCCCTGCGGGAAAACATATGTGTCTACATAAGCATATACTTCAGGGCTGTTTTGAACCGCAAAGCTTTCCAGAATCACGGCCACTCTGACCTAAGCTCTGGTTTTTTCAAAATGCCGGACAAAATGGAAGTGGGAGGTTTGACCCTTGCACAGCAGATACCTTAAAGCTTTTACCAGAAGTTGCTGAATTACATTTTGTGCCGATGTAAATGAAAAATCTTAGCAAAACCAGTTGAGTTACGTTATCAACGTTATGGCTGACTTTAGCTCTTTAAGAACAACATGAGCCACCTGTTAATTGGGCAAAAGAATACACAATAGCCGCCTGGGCTGCAGAGCTGGGCACATACACACTTCGTTTAAAATACGGTTTTTAAAAGTCAGCAAACAGGTCATTCCGTACTCATCCGTGTTGTACAAATTCAGGAGCCATTCCTCAACTTGTTACTTGGGTAAGGAAAACACGGATTCGCAGAAGAGGCCCACCCACCGATAGGTCTTAAATGATCCCTGTAAGGAATAATTTGGGGAAGGCCCTAACCTAATCCAACGTTCTCCACTAAGGCAAGAACATTTACTGTTCACCTGCTCAGCAGCCCTTTAGGGATACTTGTTCAGCCTGCTCCAAAAAGACTAAAGGAGGAAATTCCGGAATATCCCTAGCCTATTAGAAAAGTTCGCTATCTATGTGTTTAGAAATCCTTTGCTTACATTCATTTTGCTGCACATCAGGCCAATTTCTTCTTGTCAGTGGGCAAAAGGGATGAACTTCTCACTGTTCTCATGCAGCAGGAGACTGCTATCGTATCTATACTCGATCTTCTCTTTTACTGCCCCAATTGCTTTACCATTCTGAGCACGTCATATAAACCAAAATACCCAAACCATGTTGAATTTGTACGGCAAACTGTCTTTCTCCAATTTCACAACCCTTGAAAGAGTAAATGGACATCAGTATTTAGTACAAGATTTAGACCCTTCAGGAAGCACGACACTCCTTCAGAAACAGTTCTACAACTGAAAGCTGAGAATTGTTAATATTTCCTTGCCCTCTGAAATCTGGTAACAAATAAGACGTTATCAACTTTTTTTTTTTTTTTTTATACATAGGAAACAATTAGTAGCTTATAATAAAACTGTAAAATGATTCTGTCCTCCGTGTCTGCACACTCCTTCGAGGAGCCACAGCACACAAACGGGAGTGTCTGTTAGCCAGCTGTTTGTGCTGAAGCGTGATTCACACTTAGTCACTCAGCGCTGAACAACAATTGTGACAACTCAGCAGTCACCCAATCAGAAGTGAAAACCAACTGCCGCACCCATTGCCATCACATCCCCACAACAGGAAAGGCAGCTGTACCTACGCTCTTCTTCAAGCCGTTCATTCCAGTTTCACTCAGATTTGCCGGGCAACCTTCCGACGCTGTACACCTATTCAGTCCCCTGGCCTGGATACAAGCAGGAGGTTTAAAGGTTCAACAGTTCTTTATATTTAACAGTATATACACCGGGCACATACGGGGATCATAATTGAAGACAGCGATGGATAACAAAAGAAAGTTACTTTTGTCTTGCAGGCATTTCCAATCATGTAATTGTTACGCAGGAGAAAAGACAAGTCATTTTGCCTTCATTTGGTCAGGATAACTATCTTGGACTAACAATGCTGACAGCTGCTTTGCTCTATCATCTGCAATTTAAGCTCCTTTATATATACACACATATTTTTATATATATATAAAAATAAAAACCAGGATGTTTGCCATAAAGACTGCTGACACAAAGACTTTACCTCTACCAGGTGTGCCCTCTTTCCTCTTTTCTCCTTTTTTAGCATAAGAGCTATCACAGCTGGGACTTTCTTCACCTCCATCAAAATAGTCTCCTAGCAAGGTCTGTTTCAATAAAGAAGTTCCTTCTCTCCCCAGACACATCGCTACTTTAATGAATCAATATTTAGGCTTTTTTCCTTATCTGCATATATGTGGTATGAACAAATTATATCTAATGATAAGAGTTAAAGTCTCCCTTTCACTTTCAAATAAAACCAAACCAATAAACCCAAAGGCAAAAAGCGGCCAGTCCCTTCGCTGCCTCCTGCTGCACCCTTTATACCAGTGGAGTTCTTGGAGTGATTCTGAAGGGGTACGTGAAAATAAACAAGGTGGCATTAGTCAAACTTTTAAAAAAACGGACCATGAAAATTCCGTTTTTCATTTTCACCAAACAAGCAAGCAAACCTCGTTTAAAGGTAGCCGTGGAAAACAGAGCGTCGGGCAGAATGACTTCTCTGAGAGGAGGCTGGTACAGCAGAATCGACATGCTCCCCCCCTAAACGCTTCCCCTAGGACCAAGATGTCCATTTAAGGGGGGCAGGACAGATTTTGATCTGTTACAGCCCGTATTGAGAACGCTATTTCCACCCACGCTCACCTCGCACAATCTGTCCTGCTGTGGTGTGGAACACGTATGAATACTGTTTTCTCAGTATTGTAAAGGGCATTTTTCCCCCCTCAGGAGAAGCGGTACTGCCAGGAAAAAAGCATACGTAGACAAGAATCTGTAATTTGCCTGTGCTTAAAGACAAGACAGAAGAGGGACAAGGATTTTAAACACACTGTTCTTTCACCACCTCTTAATTCTGGACTGCGAGAACCCCCTGTTTATTAGCAGTAAAATGTTAGGTCATTCAACCATTACATTTCAAGAATGCGCCTGTTAACAAGTCTGCTGATTCGGATTAATTAAGGGGGTGGAATTTCTGACACGGTACCTGATCACAGAGTTTAGAGGAAGTACCAGAAATCACAGCTCCGGCAAGAAAGGAATCAAACTTCAGATACTGAAATAGTTTCTACAAAACTGCTTTTTCTTCAAGAATCCTTACTTTATGTAGAGGTAGTCAGGCACTGAACAGTGTCAGAAAATGCGCAATGTGGAATACTCGTCTGTGCAGATCGCCCTTAATTTTTGTCCCTGAAGAGAGAAAGAGCAACAGAGCACGTGAGGAATTCATCTGCAACTTTCATCTACCATCGCCACTGCTCTGAAACCTAAACTGATGGGGGGGCTTTAATGGTAAAAATCCTACTAAGGAATCACTCTGTTAATAAACTTTCCAAAATACTTGTAAGTACCGGAACTTTCTGATAATCCAATCCCAAAACTTCCACTAAACTCAAAAGAAACAAAATTAGTCCCAACATAATCAATCTGCCCTGTGCTCAGTATCACAGGTCTTCGTTTCTAACAATATGGTGGCAGCTCTGTGATTTGCAATATATGCCTTATAATGACTATAATGAAAAAAAAAGACAGTTTTAAATGTAGAACAAAAATATTTATTTCAATTTTGTATACAAAAAAGACAAAACAGCCAAACAATTATTAGTACTGACAATTTTTGTGAATATTTAATGGCAGGTATTTCTAACCTCACCTTACAAAACCAAGTACTTTTAAAACTGTAATCACGTTTTTGATTTTACTTAGGTGTGGGTTTTTTCCCAACTGACTAGTGGCTAATCCAGTGGTTTTAAATAATTAAAATAACAGGGCTTAACAGACACAGAGAGTTACACTGAACCTTCTGCATTGGAAGATCAGTCCGAGGGACCAGTGCTACTTCCTCCTCATTTACATATCATCATTACCCACTGAGAAAAATATGCAAACTGTATGCAGTTTTTTTGATACCTGTTTTTAGCGAGCGTAGAAAAGTTAGCAGAGTATCTGCTCTTTTATTCTACGGCTACTGCATATATAGAAAACCAACCAAGACCGAGAACACAACAGAAATTAGCATTCCTTGCGTACGAAGCGCCTTAGAATCTGCCAGAAAACACTTTGCACAATATGAACAGTGTTCTTACACTACCTGAATGAGCATATCCAAAGTCACATGGCAGTCGTGTCTTTTGGCTCTCAGAACCTTGAGCCGCCTATCTGGCCTAAAAATATTGTGCTGCTTCTTGGCATAAAAATCGACGGTAGGCATAGGAAGGATGGTGAAAGTGAGACTGGCACAGGAGAGAAAGAACAGCTTGTGCATTTGTCAGCAAACAAAAGCTTAGTTACGACCAGAAGGCATACTCTTTATTTAAAGAACATAGTCAAAAAATTAATTTCAGGATTTTTTTCCTGTACAAAAAATAGAGCACGATGTTTTTACATTCAAACCTCAACTCCATAGAGAAGTAGACTTCATAAAGCACAGATTGGTGATCACACGTACCTGAAAAGAAAGCATTAAATCGCTCATCCTAATGCTCTACTAGTGCTGAAGAGATTCCAACAGTTCTGTGCCAAAGGCCAATAATCAAATTTTTCTTGTGCAATCACACCTCTTCAGGACTGAAAATAGTTACAGAGGAGCGTCCCCAATTTCAGAAGAACTTCTGCTATTATGAGGGAAAAAAGCCTGGGCAATGAGTAATTTTTGAGCGGTACTAGAACAAAAAACCTTCAGGTTCATTAGTTAACGTTACTGAATAGGCAGATGTGCCCCAAGCAGGCCAGCCACCGTGCGACAAGCAGCGAGTGGAGGGTCTGTCCAACGTGACAGCTGAGCTCTCTGGTCTCCTGTCAACTACTCTAGAGTTGGGTAGAGAAGTTCTTTCTAGAAAATGAAGAATTCAAGGTAGCCTATAGTTAGGCAAGGTCTCCACAAGGCTGCAAACTCTTACTGCTGCTACTGGACGTCAAATGAGATACACAGAGAAACAGCAGAATTTCTAAAGCTGCATGAAGAGCATATACATCATACAACTTCCGAGCCTTCTTAAAAAGGGAAATAGATGCTTTGAAAAAGTGTAAGTTACTAAATAAATATATTCCTTGTATGGCACATCCACCTCCCTTTCCATAAAACTCCTAACGAATTATTTCAACTCTAAAGGGAAGCATTTTATTTAAAACATAAATATTAAGAAAGGCTTTAGGAAATAATAAGCAGTTACAACCCATTTTTATCACATACAACCTCTAGATAAAATGGCATGTTTTAAGGAAGACTGCAACACTAGAGGTTGTATTAAATAACTCCTTAGGGTAAGGACAGCTGCAACTATTTTTCACCCAGTTTGCAAGACTGCTCAAAAGCTTAAGCGTAGACTGATATGATCTAGCTGTCGTCATCAAAGCAATCTTTTCAAGTGACATTTCACATGCCAATCCCAAAACCAGTCAGTCATCAGAGACAAACAGAGACAAGTTTGTAAGGAAAAATTGCATGGTTTTACAATTGTATAAAAAAAAAGTAATTTTTTTTCATCTGTGATGGATGAAGAAAACCTGTTGTCCGAGAATACCAGCAGTCAAAAAGCCGAGGAATTCTTGAAGCTGCACAAAAGAACTTAAGAAAAAAAGACAATTTGGTAAAACCATCAGTCGTCTTCCATATTTAAGGTGCATTAAGACGAAGACTGCCAAAGATCACATTTTGATTCCTATCTCACACTTTTTATGCAAGTTCCAGTTTTGAGCCTGGACTCTCAAAATCCTCTGCAGTTTTGCAACTAGTAGTAAAAAAAATTGGAAAAATATTACAAACAAACCTGCATATTACAAGTAAATCTGCAAATATTTTGGTAACTCTGAATAGCACTTTACAATTTCCACCACACCTGCCAATTTCATTGTCTCTCAAACCTACGAAGCCTTTGCCGCCGCCTTTCCTCTTCTGAATGCTGCTCAGGTGGAAACCAAAAACCATAGGGTCGCCGCTCGTTAGTATACGTTGCTCCACCAAAATCTACAAGACACAATGAAAAACAACTGTTATTTTGTTCTGTAATATGAGAAAAATGCACATATATCCCGTAATCCAAAACATCACAACACAAAGGAAAGAGGGAGTTGAATGTTTCCAATTCTGATCGTTTCAGGGCAATCACAACTTCCAGCAACTGCTCTTAAAGACACTGAAATAAAAAAAACAAAACCGAAACAAACATCACCAACAAAAAAACCAAACCAACAAACCGCAACCAAAAGAACACCCAAACATCTAACACGCATTAATCTGGGAGGTCACACTTTTCACGATCCCTACTTTGTATAGTAAACTCCAGATTGTTAAAACTATTTAAACGTCCTCAGGAGTTACTTCTGGCAAAATCAGCTTTTGTTTTTGCTTTCAGTACTGCGGTCCCACATGTGCTGACCCATACCAGATGCACATACAACTCCCATCCTCAGTTGGCAGCAAGCGATTTCACAAATAAGCTACACGTGGCAGCTCCGCTAGAGAGAACTGTAAGGAATTTAATCGAGCAGAAACAGCACACCAAACCCGAAGGTTCTCTGCCCTGGCACCCCAAGAGCAGACACGAACAGGCTATTCCAGCAGCTCCTCAGAATTCACAGTAAGTCACCGCGCAAAGAAACGGTTAAAAGGTTGTGGTTACACACCACCTCAACCGAAGGGCTCTGGGAAACAAAAATGAGAGGCTGCCTTCTGAGCACAGGTACGGTGTTAAGGGTAAGCAAATCAGCTTTAAAGATAACACAACAGCCTCTGTAACAGTCAGTATTTTTCAAGCTTTCACCTCAGGATCTCAGTTAAATTAGCAAAAGTGAATATGGAAAACCCAAAGTAGGTATTGTACTGCTATGTTCATTTTCAAGATGAATTTCAAACACAGCTGTATCCTGCAGCAGAAATTGTTTGTAGCAAACACCTAAGGCCTGTTTTACGTGACGTGGAGTCAGGAGGTCCGACTTAGGAAGAGGCTCTGGTAGTTTCTGATCCAATTACAAAAGCATTTTAGTTTGTAGAGTACTCACCAATAAATGTATGGCTTTGTGAAAATATTAGAACGTGTTCATCATTTTCCTTCTGTGTTTGCCAAGAAGTCAAACTCTTGGAAAATGCTTCCAGAGATAACTATAGCTGCTCAAACTCTGAGAGGCAGCAATATTAACATAAATGTTTCTAAAATGAGAGGCACCCTTTAAAAGGATTTTTCAAATTCCTATTAACATACAGGAAATGAATTTCATGTATATTTTAGTATTTTACCTTCAGCTTGTCCCTGTGTCTCAACTTGCTAGAGACAAATTTGAAAAATATTTAAGCTGTTACTCTGCCTCTGAAAACACTACGTCATTATTTGACAAATAAGGTTCAAAATATTAGAGAAAGCTAACATGTATTGGAAGTCAGAGAGCTTGGCACAGGTAACTAACTGCAATGCTTCTCAATTTTTTTTTAAATCCAAGAGCAATCTCCTTGTCTAAAAAAAAAAAAAAAAATATAATCTGCAGCACGGGCAGAATGGTTTTCTTTAACAAAAAGAATATTAACCTGAACTGAATCTTCATTTACTACATTTATTTTCCCTCATTTTACTTTGTTTCTTATACAAGGAGGTTTGTTTGAAAAGAAAAAAGAGTTGTTTTACTGTGTCCTATTGACCACAAGCTGAGAAAAAGCACTGCCTTACAATATTTTGTAACCCAACGAACATTCATTTAGAAATTAAAAAACCCAGTAACTTCAAATTGGAAGGCATAAAGCAAGGTGGTCAGTGGACATCAGATCCCTTCATAATAGTGCAGAAATATGTCTAGACAAAAAAGTTAAAAGGCCTGAGAAAGCTCAATCAGTCCTTTAAAGTCAACATTTATGAACTGTAGACACATACTGGAATACCAACGAATGTATATGTATTTATCTTGGTCATCATCAATGAGTAAGTTAAGAAATTGTTAAACCACACTGAATTCATTGTAACATTCTCAATGATGTCGTCATGGCAAGAAAATTTCTAAGGAAAATCACTGAGTCTTAATTTTTTTTTAATGGTATGTAATACCTGGGGTGAATAAATGGAAAAGAAAATCAGCAAGTAAAGGGCTTTTCACAGCATTTATATAATAATACAACACCAACTAAAATGCCTAGTATTTTCTTCGTATTTTGACTTTTGATGGGTATATTTTAAATATAAATATTAACAATAGCTTAAAGATATAAATTTTGATATATGAGGAGTAAAATAGTCAAAACCCTGATCGTACAAATGGCTGCACCGTACAGGGTCGAAACTGCATTGTAATGCTGAAGTTTGATACGGATTTTTTTTAAATCATCACAATTAAGAAAGCATTTGCATTTTTAAAAAATTCTTTTCTGTAGTGACATTGTCAAATATCAAGGTTTCTCATTAAAACATTTCTTTTTCTATCTAGCATCCTTGGCTAGTTTTTATTTAAGAAACCAGATGCCACTTATACAGTTAAGACAAGTATTGGCAGCGTCCCCATAAAATACGTGCAACACTTCAAATATAAATGTGCTTTAATAACCACTAGAAATAGAAAGACGTTATAAAAAAGATGCAAAATGCTCCTTTATATGTTGTCCCAAATATAAAAGACTGACAATGCATTCTGAAAAGCTTTCTGTTCAAGAAAAGATATTATTTTACATCAAACAACATGGTGAGGAGTGAAGTTGTCTGAATGTGAAGGTTTAAATACATGTATTTATATATGTATGTATATATTTAAGTTATCCTCTTACCCAAAATAGTTCCCTGACACCCTTTTTTGTTAAATTGCAATAAAAATATTAATGAAATAACACCTTTATCTAACCAAAATATTTATAAGCCACAGTGTTCCGAAATGGTAATTTGGCCACTGTTACTACTGAAACACCACCTGGCCGCCTGCGCAAGAAACGAACACAATCTTTTCAACACATCAGCGAAAAACTTCAAGACTAAAGGATTTTAAGACCGTATTTAAAGTTTTTAAAACACTGCAATAACACCAGGCGATAGACAAAACCAAAGGATATAGTACAAAAATGTTACAACAAAACACTCGCCCGTACATAGCATATTTTAAAATTAATTTTATTGTGAACTAGGACTGTGTTCTGTGAATATGGAAGACCGAGACCCTCCACACCTTTCCTGTCACTCGGGGGGGGGTGTTGGTTACTAAAGTTTACAATTATAGGATTTGGGACCAAAACAAGAAAATCACTGTAACTGCAACTGGTTTAACTAAACCTGTATTAGCGTAATACAAACAAAGCTTTAATAACCTTAAATGTTTTCATCCGCATGTTAAATAAATATGCTTATCATGCCTAAAATACTTACTGTGGTTAGGCATTACAGCACATTACTCGGAACCTACGGTCCCCCACAGGCATAACGTATAACGCTTTAAGCACTGGTTCAAAGGTTACTCAGGATGTCAAAATCAGAAATTTGATTAATCACAGACACACAGCCCGAAATGAAGGCGACAGCCCTGACTGTCCTTCCTTTTTAACATACTTTTTCCCCCCACTGTGAATGAGCAAG